TAATATATATATAGGACTTGTAAAGCTGATGTGGTTGTAGGTTTGAGAAACGGATTACAAAAAGAAATGGATGAAACTGATCCTGAATGGAGAATTAATGGAAAGTAAGTTCAGTGTTCGATTTGTGGAAGAGAATGTAATCAAGAAGAAAGTTGAAATTGATCGTCTTGGTGCATTGGTTGGATTTTTTAAAAAATAGATATGGAATGATTAGTTTTTCAAAACAAGAGCCGTAAAGTTTGGTTTCTGTTCTACAAATGTAAATTTGGAATTATTTACACGATGATTTGTATATTTTCTTTCAAAGAGTACTTATAAGATATTATATGAGTTTCTTTAAAAAAAGTGAAAGAGTATAGTCAAGTTGATGATTTTGATTCGTTTTTTTATATATATATCAGTAATAAGTTAATTTGATTTGTAGCTTTTTTATTTATTGATGATTTGGTGATGGGTGGTTTAGTTTTTGTAAGGTTTGAAGTTGTAAGTTATTCTTTCAGAGAAAAAGTTGATTCACTGCACTGTTAGCAAAGATACATTGCATTGGAAAATCAAAGGTATCCTGAGGTATGGGTTACAACTTCCCTTGGACTGGGGGACTGGGTATGTGAGGAAATGATGCAAGGCTTTCTTTGGACCCAAAGATTGCCTCAGATGGATTAATTGGACACTGTATCTGATGGTAATCAAGCATCTGATTCTTATAAGGAAACCTCAGATTAGTCAATCCAAGGCATCTTTCTTGTTAATACTGCACAAAGGATGTGCATTTGAATTGTACAGAAAACTGTAGGCTCAGTCTGATCAGTGATTCCATTGAATTTCAAGTCTGGTGCCTTGGAAAGAAAAGTGGAATGGCTGCCTAGATTTCCATCATGTAACCTGATTATTGGGTATGGCAGCATGGCTTCTATACAGGGGGAATTCTGACTTCGTACCACTACAGTTAACTTTTCCGCAGTGACTGCGGATTCGTGTTTTTCCTTTTCGCTATTCACACCTCCTACCACCATCATCATCATCTTTTCACCACTAAAACTCCTCTTATCGCGCTCAGATTCTCTCATATGCCCCCTATATCTCCTTCTCTAACCCGTAACAACCGATTCAACCCACACGGAACACGAACGGACGCGGCAAACGCGCGAACGAACGTGATAAGTGCTGAAGACGGGCAAGCTCAAGGGATGGCCAATTCAACGGACCACGACCTGGAAATGACGAACGACGCCGAACGAGACATAGGTCCGACTGATCCTGCGAACCCTGAACCAATGCAACGGCTGGAAAGCATGTCGATGGCGCAGTTGTGGGGCTTTTTAAAGCAAAACAACCAGTTGGACAATGGCGATATCGTAGTTCCGGCCAACCTGGTCAACATCATCACGGCCCTAGCGATCTCGATGCAGGAGACAGCCTTGAGAATGAGCGTGATGGAAGACCAACTGAAAAAATCTAGAGCGGAGGCGTCAAGAATCGACAATTTGGAACAGCAGATGAAAGCCCTACTAGAAGTTCAACGCAACCCGTCACAGTCTCAGCCGATCCCGAATGGTCTACCAGCCAAACCGAAATCATGGGCAGCCACAGCGGCAGAAGGATTGAAGATCACGTCAAACCGATCACCGCAACCGCCACCTCCGAATCAGGTCATCAACGCGTTTAAGCCGAGCCAAGTCATCATACGAAGTCAAGAAGGGAAGAAACCTTTTGAGAACGTCAAAGCAACAGAGATAATCAAACGAGTTAACGAAGCCCTTGCTCAGCTTGACGTAACAATTGGAGACAAGAAAGTAGAAGTTAAAGGAGCGGCGAGTCTACCTTCGGGCAGCATCAAGTTGTTCACAGCGACACGAGCTGAGGCAACCTGGCTACTAGAAAACAGATGCTCTTGGACAACCCTAGCTGACCCCGATATGATTACGTCCCCAGTAGTGTTCCCAGTAGTCATCGACTCGGTCCCTATGGAGTTCTACAACAACCTGGATGGCCTCAAAGACGTTCTCACCACGCAAAACCCAATCCCGATGGACAAGATACACTCGATTCGCTGGTTAAGCAAACCACACGAAAGACAGACAAGTGGTTCCATACTCTTGAATTTACTTGATAAAGAACTGACAAATGGGATGATGCGTGGATCAGTATACTTTGAAGGATTTAGTTTACGGGTTAGGGCTTACAAAAAGAGTAGGGTTCAGTGCTTTCGTTGTCAAGAGCCTGGCCATATAAGCATGCAATGTAAAAATGATTTACTGTGCAAAATATGTGGAGCCAACCATGACTCGAGACTGTGCCCAAACCCCAAAACTGACCGTCTTCACTGTGTAAGATGCATTGCTCAAGATGCAGCCAAAAATCCGACCTCGCAAGTTGACAAATCACTAGACAAATATTCACACTCGGCATCAAGTGCTAATTGCCCAATCAGATCAAGAAGCTTGAAATTATCATCATCAATCCACTCATGTTAAGATACAACAATATACAAAATTCACGAAGTTCTAATCCCCTTTTTTCTAATTCCTCTTTTTCTCTCATCCCCCCCCAACCTCCCACCTCAATAGCACCTGAACACATAGAAGCTAACAAAGATGCCCTTTCCACAGACACAACAAAACTGAAGATCGCACAACTAAACTGTTTCAATGGTAAGATAATAACACAGAGCCTATTAGCTAACAAAGAGTATGATGTATTATTACTACAGGAACCTTGGGTAAACCCACATACCCTACGATTACCCACACACCAAGCATGGCACAAATTCACCCAATACGACTACACCGCACGAGAATACAATGAAAAATCGCGGACAGGGATTTACGTTACGAAGCGCTTCCCCTCCTGGCTAATAACCTTTCTCCCAAGCAGATCACCTCTAATCACGGCATTGGAAGTGACGATACCACACGGGACCTTACCAAAAATAAGGGTAATCTCGGCCTACAACCCACCTACACATAACACAGGTCTACCACGCCTACAAGAGTGGCTCACGGAGCACAACAACAGAACGATTGCAACAATTATAGGAATCGACGGCAACCTACACCATCCGTCATGGAACCCATCAGGATACAGGCATACACACCCCCGAGCCAAAGAGTTAATACGAATATGTGGTAGTGCAGGTTTCAAGCTCACCTCCCAGAAACATATACCCACCTTCTTCCCACGAGCTATGAATGCGCGTCCAACCACACTAGATTTGACATGGATAAATTTTGAGCTTGCGAAAAGACAGGTCACAGGTTCCACAAGCGACGAGAATCACGGGTCGGATCACCAGCTGCTACTGACCGAAATCGAGTTAGGAGAACCACCACCGCCCCAGACCCACAACTCAGCAAACCTAGAGACGATGGCAAAGGCCAGTTTCTGCGATGATGTGGAAAATGCGCTAAGTTCCTTCCCATCTGTACTCCAGTCCATAGAGGACGTTGATACAGGCATACAACAGATCACAGACGCGATAAGTAACGCATTCCTACGACAAGGCAAGACGGTCAGAACGAGCGCGCACCGTCACAAGGCGTGGTGGGATGAAAAGAGACTTAGCCCGATAATAAAGGAACAAAACAGAGCGCGAAGATGGATGATCGCCAGCGGATCCGTTAGCGCAAAGCAATGCTATTGGAACTGGAATGAGTACGTGAAAAATGTGATAAATGAACTGAAACGTGACCACTGGAGGGCTTTCCTAGCCAAGTCCAGTGGAAGCTTGTCTTACAAAGCCTTCAAGTACACACAGTCTCAAACCACGAACGCTGTAGCGCCCCTCTACAGGGAGAATGGATCTCTCGCTACGGACAAAAATGAACAAGCTGAGTTACTGTTTAGAGGAACATC